CGAGACATCAGAGTGGACGACAAGGAGGCCAAGGACCGATCTAGAGGGAGGCGCAGCGAACCCAGCCTGACACACGCACACACACAAACACACACACACACACACTTTTCGTAAGCGGCGAGGTGGCGAAATCCGCACCAGCGCAACAGCTAGGTAGGGGCACTAACTAACGAACTGGCCGGCGTGCAAGGAGGGAGGGGGGAGGCCGACGAGAGGAAGGACACATCGTGGAAGAGAGCGCACGGAGCATGCTAAGAAACTTAGGAAGCCTCTGAGTCAGCCCGATGATGAACCGCATGCAACGATCGAGCGCGCGAAGAAAGCAAGGGTGAGGACCCGCCCACGACCACCCAAAAAACGGTTCCGCATGACGCCACGACAGTTCGCTAACACGCGAACGTAATCACAACTCGACGTACAGGAAACGGCATAATAAGAAAGAGACACACGTGAAAGCACCAGAAACCAAGACACGCGAAGGCAGAGCGCACAGAACCCGCCCACTCTACTTTGGCGGACTTTCGTTGAGGACGGCCGAAGAGCCGCGCGCTGTGAGGGACATTCCTGCGCAAGGCAAGTGAAGTCGAATGCTGCCTGAGATGCAGCGCGGACCCCATGAAGCCCCAACGCGACGACATCCGATGTAGACAAGCCCGCAAAAGAACCCATAAGAAATTGGACGCATGATGTAAAACTCTGCGCCGGAAAACACAACGCAACAAGCAACGGAACTAATCCCCGAAGGCTCGAATCCGAAAGCACTAGTCCTCGGCCTAACAAACAAATGTCTTTGTTCGACTGGAAACATGTCCTGGAAACTCCCAGAGAATTCCCCCGTTCGTCCGGCAACAAATATCGCGTGCGCGATTGCCTGGTTCGCGATTGCCTGGTTCGCCTTTTCATCCTCAGGAGAACGGCCAGATCAAAACACAGCCCCCTATGATGAGGTGGTCAAGAGTGAAGAAGTCAAGAGCCCGCGTCACGAGAAAATCGTGACGTCGGGTGCGCGGGGAGGATGGAAAGCTGGAGTCTATACATATCCACCGCCAGGGGAGGACCTCAGGAGGCAGTGGATACGGATACCTGTGGGCCCCCCCAGTGGACCCCGAGAACATGGAATGACCGCCTCCCGAAGTCCTGGAAGATCGGCTCTCCTGGCGGTGCAGGCCCTGGAAGGGTGGAGCCGGAGGACGAGGAGAAGGAGATGCTGGCACACGGGGACCTCCGGGTCGCGTCTATCTCTGCGGCGTGGGTCCAGGAGCTCTCGGCCGTACAGTCGGGGTGTTGACCTAAGGAACCCGAAATAAGGAACGAGGCCCCTCTCTCCCATAAGTTGAACTTCGATTTCCCCTGGGAAACCTCAGGAGAACCGAAGGTACACTGCAGAACAGGCAAGGAACACCGAGCCCCTCCCCAACGAGAAGGGTTCCTTCTTCAGGGCCCTCGGCCGTACCTCGCGGACCTTGACGCGGGTCGTTTTTTGGCCTTCCCCAGGGCCCGAGCTGCAGGGATCGAGCATTACTCTCAGGGTCACACCTTTCTTTCCTCCGTCCCCCTCCCGTGACTGGGAGGGGCAAGGGGAAGCATGAAGGGGCCCCAGGACACACAAATAAATACACACAACAAATTATCCCAGCAAAGCAACCTAACAGCGATGTGTAGAAGCATATATGGAAGCATTCCCGTTAAGATTCAGATGAGAATCCAGTTGTAGAGTTCTGCTGTTCTCGCAGTCGCAGTCGCATTCGCGATGACAGTCGCAGTGGCAGCGGCAGTCGCAGTCACAGCCTCAGCCTGCCTCAGTATCAGCCTGCCTCAGCCTCAGCCACAGCCTGCCTCAGCCTCAGCCTCAGCCTGCTTCAAGCCTCAGCCTCAGTCTGCCTTCAGCCTCAGCCTCTGTGCCTCAGCCTGCCTCAGCATCAGCCTGCATCCGCCTCAGCCTCAGCCTCAGCCTCAGCCTGCCTCAGTATCAGCCTGCCTCAGCCTCAGCCTCAGCCTGCCTCAGCCTCAGCCTGCCTCAGCGTCTGCCTCAGCCTGCCTTCAGCCTCGGCCTCAGCCTCAGCCTGCCTCAGCCTCATCAGCCTCAGCCTGCCTGCCTCAGCCTCAGCCTTAGCATCAGCATCACCATTCTCAGCCTCTGCATCAGCATCAAAATGTGGCCCGGGAATGGAGTTCTGGGAACTCGAAGAGCACGAAGTGGCCTACAGTTGGCTCCGGGCATTCAAAATGTGGCCCGGGAATGGAGTTCTGGGCACTCGAAGAGCACGAAGTGGCCTACAGTTGGCTCCGGGCATTCAAAATGTGGCCCGGGAATGGAGTTCTGGGCACTCGAAGAGCACGAAGTGGCCTACAGTTGGCTCCGGGCATTCAAAATGTGGCCCGGGAATGGAGTTCTGGGAACTCGAAGAGCACGAAGTGGCCTACAGTTGGCTCCGGGCATTCAAAATGTGGCCCGGGAATGGAGTTCTGGGAACTCGAAGACCACGAAGTGGCCTACAGTTGGCTCCGGGCATTCAAAATGTGGCCCGGGAATGGAGTTCTGGGAACTCGAAGAGCACGAAGTGGCCTACAGTTGGCTCCGGGCATTCAGAATGTGGCCTGGGAATGGAGTTCTGGGAGGTCGAAGAGCACGAAGTGTGTGACTGTTTGCGAAAGCGCATTCGGACACGAGTTCGGACACAGCTCCCCGGATGCCGCCCCGACCCCCCTGTGGAGTCATCTGCTGCTCTCTTTTGACCCCACTAAAAACCTATCAGCAAAAACTGTTAGGTAATTATCCCGGCAAAGCAACCTAACAGCGATGTGTAGAAGCATATATGGAAACATTCCCCTTAAGATCCAGATGAGAATCCAGTTGTAGAATTCTCCTGTTCTCGCAGTCGCAGTCGCATTCGCGATGAGTCAACGGCAGTGGCAGTCGCAGTCACAGCCTCAGCCTCCTCAGCCTCAGCCTCAGCCTGCCTCAGCCTCAGCCTGCCTCAGCCTCAGCCTCAGCCTGCTTCAGCCTCAGCCTCAGTCTGCCTTCAGCCTCGGCCTCAGCCTCAGCCTGCCTCAGCCTCAGCCTGCATCAGCCTCAGCCTCAGCCTCAGCCTGCCTCAGCATCAGCCTGCCTCAGCCTCAGCCTCAGCCTGCCTCAGCCTCAGCCTCAGCCTCAGCCTGCTTCAACCTCAGCCTCAGTCTGCCTTCAGCCTCGGCCTCAGCCTCAGCCTGCCTCAGCCTCAGCCTGCATCAGCCTCAGCCTCAGCCTCAGCCTGCCTCAGCACCAGCCTGCCTCAGCGTCTGCCTCAGCCTGCTTCAGCCTCAGCCTCAGCCACAGCCACAGCCTCAGCCTCCGCCTCAGCCTCAGCCTCAGCCTGCCTCAGCCTCACCCTGCATCTGCCTCAGCCTCACCCTGCATCAGCCTCAGCCTCAGCCTGCCTCAGCCTCAGCCTCAGCCTCAGCCTCAGCCACAGCCTGCCTCAGCCTCAGCTTCAGCCTGCCTCAGCGTCTGCCTCAGCCTGCCTCATCCTCATCCTCATCCTCAGCCTCAGCCTCAGCCTCAGCCTCAGCCTCAGCCTCAGCCTCAGCCTGCCTCAGCCTCAGCCTGCCTCAGCTTCAGCCTGCCTCAGCCTCAGTCTGCCTCAGCATCAGCCTGCCTCAGCCTCAGCCTCAGCCTGCCTCAGCCTCAGCCTCAGCCTGCTTCAGCCTCAGCCTCAGTCTGCCCTCAGCCTCAACCTTAGCCTCAGCCTCAGCCTGCCTCAGCATCAGCCTGCCTCAGCGTCTGCCTCAGCCTGCCTCAGCCTCAGCCTCAACCTCAGCCTCAGCCTCAGCCTCAGCCTGCCTCAGCCTCAGCCTGCCTCAGCCTCAGCCTCAGCCTCAGCCTCAGCCTCAGCCTGCCTCAGCCTCAGTTGGCTTCGGGCATTCAAAATGTGGCCCGGGAATGGAGTTCTGGGAACTCGAAGAGCACGAAGTGGCCTACAGTTGGCTCTGGGCATTCGGGAATGAAGTTCTGGGAACTCGAAGAGCACGAAGTAACCTACAGTTGGCTCCGGGCATTCAAAATATGGCCCGGGAATAGTGTTCTGGGAAATAGAAGAGCACGAAGTAACCTACAGTTGGCTCCGGGCATTCAGAATGTGGCTCGGGAATGGTGTTCTGGGAAAGCTCAGAGCACGAAGTGGCCTACAGTTGGCTCCGGGCATTCAGAATGTGGCCCGGGAATGGAGTTCTGGGAGGTCGAAGAGCACGAAGTGGCCTACAGTTGGCTCCGGGCATTCAAAATGTGGCCCGGGAATGGAGTTCTGGGAAGTCGAAGAGCACGAAGTGGCCTACAGTTGGCTCCAGGCATTCAGAATGTGGCCCGGGAATGGAGTTCTGGGAGGTCGAAGAGCACGAAGTGTGTGACTGTTTGCGTAAAGCGCATTCGGACACGAGTTCGGACACAGCTCCCTGGATGCCGCCCCGACCCCCCTGTGGAGTCATCTGCTGCTCTCTTTTGACCCCACTAGAAACCTATCAGCAAAAGCTGTTAGGTAAAAAGATCCCCTATATTTTCATAGATTCTCCTGGTTTCTGTCTTCCTCCCCCACTTCCCATATTTTCCCATATTTTCTGTGGAATCGAGGATTCATGGTGTCTGTGTGTTTCTTTTCCTCCTGATTTAAAGCAACGAGGCGGAAGTGCACATTTGCCCTCCTCCCAAACTCGCCCCCGCTGAGGACGAGGTCGCAGGATCTTAAGTGCCATCGCTGTCTGTGTGCCCTCGTTTCAAGAGGTCTGGAGATCTGGGCAGGGAACTGCCCTGGCCCCCACCGAAGACCCGAGCATCGGAAACAAAACACCAACGTCGCGAAAAATCATGACCGGAGCTCCCGATACATCATCTCTCTGCGCCGTCGTCGTCGTCGTCGTCGTCGCCGTCGTCGTCGTCGTCGACGTCGTCGTCGACGTCGTCGTGTTCGTGTTCGTGTTTGTGTTCGTGTTCGTGTTCGTCGTCGTCGGTAATTTGTCGCCGCCGGCGCCTCGAGAGGGCGGAGCCCCGGAACTGCCCGAGCTCGAGGCCTCCAGCGGGTGACGGCTGGTGCACCTCGGCGCCGCTGGCGCCAGCGCCGACGGTGGCGACGACGACGACGACGACGACGACTAAGAAAAGGAGCAGGAGCAGGAGGAGGAGGAGGAGGAGGAGGAGGAGGAGCAGGAGCAGGAGCAGGAGGAGGAGGACGACGGAGACTACGACGACGACGACGGCGGCGGCAACGGCGGACGGCGCAACCGCCAACGGAGGCAGACGGCGACGACGGCGGCAACGACGACGACGACGCTGGCGATGGCGGCGCCTGTCCTGTGGTACGTTCTGACCAAAATCTCGTGCCCCCCTTGCGCGAACATCACTCACACTCCTCGATCCTTGAACCCGGGACGGCGTCGACGACGACGACGACGGCGACGGCGACGGCGACGGCGGCGACGGCGACGGCGACGGCGACGGCGACGACGGCGGCAACGGCGGCGGCGACGGCAACGTCGACGACGCCGCCGCCGGACAACGGCGACGTCGACGTGGCCCTGGCGCCGACGACGCTGTCGATGACGTCGACGCCGCCGTCGACGCCGACGCCGACGACGACCCCCGCCACGGACGGCCCGCGGCCGGGGCCGGCGGGCACCGCGCTCGCCGGCGCCGCGAGCAGGAGGCAGCGGCAGGCGGCGGCGAGGGGGGCCGCCGCGCGGCGCCGCGGCCGAGAGGCCGCGGACATGGAATCGCGGAGGGGGGGGGGCGGGCCGAGGCCGTCCGCGGGCGGCTCAGCCGCCCGCGGCGTGACCGCAGCTCGGCGGCGCGCCCAGGGGAGGAAGGGCTGAGAGGGGGGGGGTCGCTGTGCCTGGTCTCCACGGGGGCGGGGGAGGCGGGACGTGCACCCCTGGACTGCAGGGGTGCACGTCCCCCAATGATGAGTCTGGGGGCCCCGGTGCTCCTAGACTGGGGGACGAGAGGGGCACCAGGGGCCCTCGTGCCCCTCTTGGGCCCCGCGGGGGGCCCTCCAGGGCCCCCGCTGGGGCACGGGAGGCGGGCCTTCCCTCCCCCCCCCAGTGGGGCGCTCCCCCGTCGCGCAGCGCCCGACTGGGGAGGCTCGGGAGGCCTCCGGCCTCCCGAGGAGCTCTCCGAGCCCTCGGCGAGCCCCCGCCGCCTCCCGAGGAGCCCTGCCCCCTCTCTCACTTCTCCTCCTCCTCCTCCTCCTCCTCCTCCTCCTCCTCCTCCTCCTCCTCCTCCTCCACCTCCTCCTCTCCTCCCTCCTCCTCCTCCTCCTCCTCGTCCCATTCCTCCTCCTCCTGCGACCCTGGGCAGGAGTGGCCCCCCGTGCGCGACTCCACGGGGGGCGCGGCTGCCGCGTCGCAGTCAGCGATGGGGGGGCCCCAGCGGGCCCGCACCAAAGAGGCCACCCCGGCGAACGGTCGCCCTGACGCGCAGTCGAAGTCCCCCCCCCCTCGGCGCGCCGCCGAGCGGCAGGAGGGCACCGGCTCTTCACCCGACACCGATCCTGCCCTGGCCCAGCCTGCGCCCTGGACGGGTGCTCCCGCCGTCCTGGCGTGGCCAGAGAGGCACACATAGTTGGGGCTGACTGTGGAGGACACGGGCGAGGGCACGAGACCCTTCCGAGGGCCAGGTTGCCACAGGAGTGTGCAAGGCGCGGGCCGCGAAACACAGGGCATAAGGGTAGCCTTGATTCGGCAGGGCCGACCTACCAATCAGCCTCGACTGTACACCGACCCTGGGCCTGCGATCTGCCTGGCCAGGATCCGTGCTGGTGCTCTGCAGGCGCCCTCCGGCGCAGCACTGTAGTTACGCTACCGGCGGATAGAGGGGTCTGCTACGCCGCCCGATCAAGCTGAAGGGAGCCTTCGCTCGAGCCACGGGGCGGATAAGCGGGCGGAGGAGGAAGGGGAGGGGGCGGACTGGGCCCGTGATCTGGCAGGACAGCCTAATGGGTGGGGGGCCCAATGAGCGAGCGAGAACATCTGAACTGGACAACTTTTGGCCTTTCCGTCGGGACTCCGCGGAAGTTGTTTTTACTGGAGGACCCGCCGAGAAATTCTGAATAAAGCGCACCCATGGGGTGCTTCAGGGGTTAGCTGAACAAGCGACCAAACATATGCCGTCAAAGCCTTTGTCCTCAAGAAATGCGACGGTCGGCTTCCTCAATTTCGACCTCCAGAAGCCGGTTTCGGAGGTGGGGGGCGGCCAAACAACATCTGGGAAGAACTGGCCGTCCGTGAGACGGGATCCACAGGTCCAGGGGGAGGGAAGAAATACCCAGAGTGTGACCTCGTTCTCCGTCATTACGGACAAAGAGTAGTGACGGCTGGTGCTGCCTCCACCTCGACCTCTTTCACAGTGCGCCCGCTTCGGGCCCGGGGACCATCAGCTGACTGCCTAGGATGAAAAAGCTTGACCCCGACGGCCCAGACATCTACGGGGGCCCACGTCACGATAAGATAGAGGCGTCTGCCGTCTACCCTTAGGTCGGGCATGTCCCCCTACAGGCGGAATCTGGAAGAACATTTTGAAAAACAGTCAAACAATAACCAACAATTGCCCAACGAGCACGAACAATCTTCACCAGACTATTGTTTTCCAATTCTGGCGGTTCCCCCCTGTAGAGGGACATGGCCGACTTAAATCTACCAGGGATTTGTTATTGAACCGGCCTTGCAGACGGCTGCAGCGGATTTTTGCGTGGATTTCTGTCAATGCAAACCCCCGAAAAAGGCGAGTGAAAAACAACGTGAATTTCGCTTGGATTTTTTGCCAGTCTTCGTTCCTGGCCAAACAAACAATCCGCACGAAATTCACCTCGAAATCCAGAACGACATTCTCCAAAACACTCCGGGCCCATTTCCGAGTGGGTCGTTCTCACAGGATGTCTCGAGCGACTTGGGTCCTGATGCCTCTCCCCTAACAAAAAGAAAACACGACCCCGATCCCAAATTCGCTGATTGACCGAGAGTTCGAAAAACGGCTGAACAATTCGGGGTATGGTTTGCGTTCGCCGTTTCTTCCCACGCAAAGCCCTGACTGCCCCGCAATATCCCTCCCCCAAATCGTCAGCAACCGGTGCCTCCTTCTGGCGACAAGGTGCCGTGTCGCGTCTGGCGGTTACGACGAAGGGCCCCCGAGGGCATAGAAACGGAGGAGGTAGGAGCAGAGAAAGACACAGAAAGAGAGAAAAAGAGAGAGCGAGAATGTAGGAGGGATGCAACAAGTGGGGAAACCAAAAGGTACCAATACCGCTACTCAGCGGGCTTCTCCTACGGTGCGTTCTGACCAGAATTTCCAAGGCGAATCCAGCGGTGGCGACGAGGGCCCCCCAGGATGCCAACAGGGGGAAAACGAGGGAATGGTAGAGGTATGGGTAACTTTTCCTCCTTTGAGGGAGGAGGAGGAGGAGGAGGAGGAGGAGGAGGAGGAGCACAATCTATTCCTTTTCTGGATGGATACGGCGAAGATCCCCTGGACAACGGCCGCCTCACAGAGCCGCCGACGGGGCATCTGCTGCCCATGGCCCCGAAGACGCTCCCACGAGCGGCCACGGCGCTCGGAACCGCAGAAGGGGCTGGAGCAGGAGGAGGGAACCCGAGGCGGCAAATAAACAGTACGAAAAAGCGTCCCTTGAGTATTTTTTGACAATTCTTGAATATTTCTACTGTAGTGGGGCCATGCCCGACTTAACTCTAAGAAACGACGATGGGGCACGGATGATCCCGCCGCGGTTAGGGACGTTTGCCTCGCGCGTCGCCGCAGCGGCCCCGGGCGACACGCTGTGCCCTGCGAGCGGAGGGCGCGTCGCTCCGCTCCGCGGGGTACTGGGAAGGGCCAAGCGTACCCCCGGGGCGACGGACGACGTCTACCCCAAGCGAGGTGCCGCAGCGGCCACGACTTTAGCCACGGTGGGCGCCTAAAGGCAGCCGTTGGGCGCCTCGAAGTGGGCCCCGAGGCCCCCTCCAAAGTAGTCGCGCCTGCTCCGGGGTACGGCCGGCCTCCCGCGAGGGCAGGAGGCTCGGAATAGCTCCAGACGTTAACGTTTGTGCGTCTGGGCGGGTAGCTTTCTAACCCCCCCGCGTCAACGGCGATCGGCGCCGGCACTCGGCATCGACACTCGGCAACGACACTCGGCACCAACAGTCGGGGCCGACAATGGGCACCGACACTCGGCACTTGCGCCCGCCGGAATACAATCTCCCCGAAGGGGGGTCCTAAATAGAGCGGCGATCTCTGCCACTCTGACGCGCGCAAGTTAACGCCTGGGGACTGGGGACTGGGATTAGGTCGGGCGCGAAAATAATCAACAAATGGCCCCGAACGAACAAAAACATAGAACAATCGTCCCCCGACTAGTTTACGACTGTTTTGAATGTTCCTCTCGAAGGACACGACCGACTGAAGACTGGGGCCTGGGCAGCGCGCCGCGCCGACGAGCGGTGGATCAGAGCCGACGGAGCGACGCGCTGTCCGCGGCAAGTTCTCGAACGCGGCCCCTGGGCCTCTCCAGGGGCGCGCTCCCCGGTGAAAACTGCGGGGCGGATCCGACCGTGGCGACGATGGCCCGGGAGAGCGCGTTATTAGGACAACGAGCGGTTTATGTATACATATATATACACACACACACACTCTACACTAGAACCGTCGCGCTTGCTTCGCGCGCGCTTTGGTTCTAGCCCAGGTCAGGGACAAATCGAGTCAAACTTCGTCGAAACGCGCCCCGAAATAGGTCGACGAAAGACTCGAACCAACGTGACAGAGCTCGTCCTTAGCGCTCGCGCTGCTTAGCGCCCTAGGCGTTCGCGCTGCTCTCGGATTGACCAACGTCCGCTCAAAAAGGCCCCCGGGGGCCGAAAACCGAAAGATCTCGTCGAACCTCGACCCTCGATTGATCGGTCCTCGACTGGCGCCTGCGACGACGAGCGCGACGTCGGCGGAGGCGACGACGACGACGGCGGCGACGATAATGACGACGACGGCGGCGGCGCTGACGACGGCAAGGGCGACGACGACGACGACGACGACGACGACGGCGGCGCCGCCGCCGTCGCCGGCGAGTTCGTCGCCGCCCCTGCGCGGATGCAGCCGTGGCGACGAATGCTACCCAATGGAATCGACGTTGTTTCATCCGCCAGGTGTAGGAGGGAAAGGGCGGGCGGCCAGCGCGCGTGGGCCCCCCCCTCTCTCGGAGCGGGCGCGCGCCGCGGAGCGGGGGCAAGCGCGCGCAGGACGGGCGTCGACCACGACGACCCTCCTTCTGTTCCTTTTCATCCCCCTCCTCCTCCTCCTCCTCTTCCTCCTTCTCCTCCTCCCCCCCTCCTCCTCCTTCTACAATTACTCAATATGAATACTACTCTCCCTCTTTCCCCGATGACAATTTGAAAATATTAGCCCCCCCGGCGTATTGCTTTTTACGCGCAGGATTCCCCGGAGTCGGGTTTTCGCCTGCATTTTTTCCAAAATGCTGCTTTCGCTGAGGCGCCGGCTTCATTTTCGGGCCCCGCTCGTTCCGAATCGCGCTCCCGCTGCAGCGCTGGCCTCATTTCCGTGCTTCCGTTCGTTCCGAATCGTGCCCCCACGGCGACGCTGGCGTCATTTCCGCGCTTCCGCTCGTTCCGACTCGCGCCCCCGCTGCAGCGCTGGTGTAATTTCCCGTGCCATGCCGCGGCATGCAATGCAATGCTAGGTTGATGTTACGCTTCGCGGTGCTCTTCTACGCCATGCCACGCCGCGCTCTGCAATGCATCGCGTACCCTTTCGGGATCATTGCCCTGCTCGACATCCGACTGTGCGAGCAGAGAGGGGACATGCGCCACGGCAAGGGATGGGGGGGGTAAGGGTTGGGGTGGGGGCGGAAGGTGCGCGTGGGGGGGCCGTGGGGGGAAAGGGTCCAGAATATGACGGCGAGCGCGGCCAAGCTTCCCCCCCACCTCCCCCCCCCCCCCCTCTCCTCCCCCCTCCCATAATTTCCCAACCATCCACCCCCCCCGCCCTCGAGGAACTGGGGGGGGGGGCGCCCCCCCCCGACGCCCGCTGGAGGGCAGCGTTTCATCCTGGATCGGCCTCCGACGGGCCCCGGCGGACTGGAACCAAACGGCCCCCTGGGGCCGAAACCCAAGATCCCAAGGAGACGGCCTGCCGCCCACCAAGGCAGTCTTTGCACTGCCGCGGGCCGTTCTTGCAACTTCGGCGCAGGGCAGCGGGGCTCGCGGAAGGGAGGAGGGAGGGAGGGGGCGGAATGGGGAAGGGGGGGGGGGGGGGCGAGGGGGGGCGGGTGGGGGGGGAGGGAAGGCAGGGATGTGAAATAGGTTTACCGGAGGGGAGGATGGTAGTAAGGTGAGAGAGGAGAAAAGGAAAAGGGGGAGTTGGAGAGGAGGAGGAGGAGAAAAGGAGGAGGAGGAGGAGAGGAGGAGGAGGAGGAGGGGGAGTGGGGGAGGAAGAGGAGGGAAGGGACGGAGGGAGGGAGGAAGAGGATCCCGGATTTTGGACGCGCTTCCGGCACCGACGTTCACCGCGAGATGCAACGACTCATGCCGCTCACATTTGCACCGAGCTGGCCTGGGCCCGCCGACCCCTTGTGGGTCTCTTGGCGTATCAGAATCTTCCCCATCCATAAGCCCCCGCCGGGTTTGGCTCATTGCGGGGATCTCTTGGGGGCCTCTTGGAGCCTCTCAGGGGCCTCCAAGGGCCTCCTGGGACCTTCTTGGGGCGGAAGGGTCGGATTTTCGGTTCGGGCTCCCCCTCTTGGGCTCCTCTTGGAGCCGTCTTGGAGCTCTCCTAAGTCGTATTGGGGACCTCTTGGGGTGTCTTGGCCCCCTCTCAGGACGTCTTTGGAGCCTCTTGGGCCGATTTGGGACCGTCGTACCGCCGTGAA